GAGCCACATCCCGATGAACTCATCACACGGCACTGTTTGTTTACATTAATATGGTTGGAGCTGTTTTTCCGACATGTGAAGTCATTTTTCTGATCATTCCGACACCACATGAACACATCCTGAGAATCGCCACAACAAAACTAACTCCAGACTTTGATGCACTGGCTAAAAAGGGACACCAACAACACTGTTCCCACTGAAATCAAAAGCAAGTTTCTCTGCTGTTATGTAAAAAAAAATGCATTTACATGTTACATGTCATTTCTGTTAAAGGTTGTATAGAGGATTTTCCAAGGAACGAGAAATCCAGCGACTGTTTGTCCTTTTTCAAATGTTGCGCATGCGTGAAACCACCCCCCCTCCCCTACAGCTCCCTACGTAGAAACGCCTCCTCCCGCCTCCTCTTTACGCCAGAAACAGGTTTGTTTACAGCCGGTGCGCTGCACATAACTTGTAAACAACTAACTACAGTGTTGGTTAGGCAAGGTGGAGAAGTGAGGAGCGGGGGGAGCGGGTGTGCGGACATTTCGTGCGCGGACGAGAAGAGCGGAGCAGGGAGAAGAGCCGAGCAGGGAGAGAGGAGAGGAGAGGAGAGAGGGAGAGAGGAGAGGAGAGGGGAGTGGTGCGCGGAGATTCCGTGCCCGGAGAAGTGAGGAGCAGGGGGAAGAGCGGAACGGGCAGCGGGGACAGGAGCAGGAAAGGGGTGCAGAGAAGGTTGCGTGGAGATTCCGTGCGAATTAACTAGCTACAACACGCAGCAGCAAGCGGACTCTTTCTTTGCCTTGAAAATTACGTTTTCAGACATAGGATATCGCTTTCGTGTCCTGAAAAATGTTTGACTAGCTCTTGGAAATAAAGTACGTTTTCATAATAAGCAGAAGTGACCTGTCCAGGAGTAATTTGGCGACCAATGCGTCAGTCTTTAGACCCTTCGTCTGCTTCAGTCGCGCCATCGCTGGAATGAATCTTCAAGAATCACCTTAGTTTGGCTTCGCTGCTTTTCCCCTTGTCTTCTTCTTTCAGCGACCTCAAAAACTGACTTTCTTTTGCGGCTAACTGCTCCTGGATTCTTGTCTGCCATTGCAACAAACTTTGTGCTAACTGCGAGGAAGATATAGGTCAAAAAAAGCCGCTAAGAACTGTTGCGTTGGTGGAGTAAACAGCGTCTGTGCGGCTTGCGTGACAGGCGTACGTAAACCACGTACCGGCGGCGCGCAGGCAGGTCAGTTACGCTAGAAACGTAGGGAGATTGATTGACAGCCTGTCAGCTAACAGATAACGAGGCAGTGTCGTTATCTATTGGCAAATGTTTAGCTGGCCCCACCACGTCCAGAGTTGATTAATTTTTATTCTCTTTTTTTTGGTCATCATAATTACAAGGCTACTGCACCTTTATAATGCTATCATTGACAACTTGAAACAAAAAAAAATCCTCCATACAACCTTTAAGGTGTACACTAGGGTGACCATATTTCCATTTGTGAAAACCTGGACACCTTACCGGGTGTGGGAGGTGGGGCCTTGAGATTGCGCTACAGTTGTTCCTCGCTATATCGCGGTTCACCTTTCACGGTCTCATCGTTTCGTAGATTTTTTTTGTGTCAATTTTGCATGTTTTTTTGTTTGTTTGTTTTTTACACGCGGGTGAGTCAGGACTAAACCAGGTCTAAACCAGGACTAATCTTGGACTTAAGAGAGAGAATGCCGAGCAGTTTGTCTGCAAAGCATGATCGGGCAATTGCCGCGTTTACCTCCGTGAGGTGCGATGCTCTCCATCAGTCCTTTCTCCTGCGGTCACCTCCGAGCCCCTCCCGACAGTGAGTCCTGTTTCAGCTCTGTTTTAGTCCTGGTTCAGTCCTGTTTTAGTCCTAGTTTAGTCCTAGTTTAGTCCTAGTTCAATCCTCCTCTTCAGGACTGGAATCAGGAAGCAGAAGGCACTGATTACCTGTCGCCAAAGACCAGAGCACACGAGAATGCACTGTGAAGCTTAGCGTGTTGCGAGAGTGAAGCAGTGCTGGGCTCGCAGTCAGACAGAGGCACTAAAAGGATCAATAATGATTTAGGAAGTTAGGTAATAAAGCTAAAGGATCGGAATTTTACCTGGTCATGGAGGACAGAGTGGCTTACACAGGGATCCAGAAATGCGTGGGTCCCTTATAACTTATAAAAGTTTATAAAGAGGTGGCTGCAGAACCGCTTCTCCTTGTGCACGCACTTAAAGATGCGGCCCTATACTCACTCTTTACCCTGGCATCTCCACCGCGTTCTCACTGCAGGGAGGTCAGGCGTATGCGGCCCCCTCTCATGCCAAAAGAGCAGCGTGCGCAAAGCTCTGCATACTCTAATGGCACAAGAGGCGGTCTCATAGTTTTAGTTCAATCCTGGTTTAGTCTTGGTTCAGTCCTGGTTCAGTCCTGGTTCAGTCCTGGTTCAGTCCTGGTTCAGTCCTGGTTCAGTCCTGGTTCAGTCCTGGTTCATCAGTGTCAGAATCGCGGCATCAATGTGTCGGAATGGAGGCATGTCGGGGTGGAGGTTTGTCGGAGTGACGGTATGTCGGAATAGGGGTTTCCGCCCCTTTGCAAAGTAAGCAATCTCGACCAATGAGATGATGGGTGAGATGCGAGTGTGTTGTCAGCTCATCAGTCACAGAACAGGAGACGCTGAGAATGCGTTTACCATTCCATTGATTACACACAATTTTTTATTCTCACGGTAATACGGGACAAAGTGCGTCCCTTTTCAGCTCAATACAGGACATGTACTTTTGTTTCTGAATACGATTCAGTTTTTCAAGGGACAGTTGTCAACCCTAGCCTGGCTCCACTGCACGCGTCAGTGTTTACACACATAACTAGAGCCCGACCGATATGGATTTTGCTGTGGCCGATATGAAACCGATATAATGGGAGTTGGCGCTGCCAATAGCCGATATAATCGCCAATATAATTAGTGATGTAAAAATTCACTGTAAATGTTGAATTGTTTAAAAACTTAGGTTTGGCTCTGGTGGATTTTAAATTGGGTTTATTTAGGCAACATTTATTGTTATTCTGCCTCTTTACATCATATTTACAGACAGTAGGTTGGCTTAATGGCATTTTTGCATCACATTCTAGACACTAGTGATGGGTATTCCAGTTCTTTTTAGAGAACCGGCTCTTTTGGCTCGGCTCACTAAAAGCTGCTGGTTCTTTTGGCTCTTCAGATTGTTTTGTTGCAAGCAGGACTAAAGCACATCTAAAGCAGGACTGAATCAGGACTGAACCAGGTCTAAACCAGGACTGAAAAAGGACTAAACCGGGACTTATTTATTTTATGCTAAACTACAGTCAAATATGCTTGTTTTTTTTTTATCCTACGTACACGCAAATTTCTCAAAGTTTCGTTTTTAGTCGCTGCCGCTGTCAAACCACGAATCTGCACGCGGCGTGAAGAGAAAAAAAGTGAGAGAAAAAGAAAACACGGCCGTAAATACGTGTGTGCCGCGGTAATTAATTATAGGCGCAAATGTCATAATTCACACGTCTATTCACAGCTCATTTACATATCAGTGCAGGTCCAGTAGCAAATATACGGCCAATATAGTCACTTTAGAACAGACCAATAGAAAACAGTCTGTTTATGTGCGGGAGCTACAGCAGCTAACCCATAACAAATGACAAAAACTAGCTTCAGAGTCGACATATTTCCAACACTCACCGCTCATACAGGCTCCTCCTCACATCACAAATCTGCACTAATAAATGTCCTTTTAATCTAGACTCAAACCGATTGTCAGTAAAAAGAATATAATCTCAGTGTTTGTTTACACCTGCAGACACAGATCCAAACACATGTGAGTGACGCGACTCTGTGGTGTGTTCAGGGACAGTACAGACACACACAGACAAATGACTCCGTAGATAAATACATATTAGGACATTTATCTGTCTGTAAATTGGATTAAATGAACAGAATGTAGAGAGTCTAAACTTTATAACGAGGTATAACATGCCATCGTGAAATATCGGCCCCTATCAGCAAGCGTATCGGCCGATAGCCAATATGCCTAAAGTTGCCCATATCAGCCGATAATATCGGCCAACCGATATATCGGTCGGGCTCTACACATAACCTCGTGAAACCACAGCCGCGTGTCAACGCAATGGAGGCTCCACCGGCAGCTGCAGCAGGACATACATACGCAGCACTGGCTCTGTGTTTGTCAATGGGAAAGACGATCAAACGTGACTGGACGCATTTAGCCACTTGTATCAGGTCCACAGTGAAACTAACAGCTGTACATGTACAGGCTGTTTTTATGCTCGCATAGGGCGAAATACACATGCAGTGGATCCAGGCCAATAATCTCTGAAAAGTTAAACATGAACCGCCTCCAATGCGACACGCACAGAACAGACTCACTGTCAGCCGCAACATCCTCTGTCGCAGAAAAAACATATTCCACTGAAAAAACATATATTCCATTGAGTCGGGTCCTTTATTCAGACAAAAGCTGAACCATGTCAGCAGCACAAGAAGCGAGCTGTTTTTATTAGCGCATACAGTTCATGCAATTAGCCATGCGGTTTTAACTTTCGTTTCTGTAAACGTAAAGAAATGTGCGCCTAAAGCCAAAATGCTGCCAAATCGCAGAAGTACTAGTATTTTTGGGGGGGACAAACTCACTTGCAGTCGGACTTGTCAGCTTGTCTTAGTCTCTTATGAGCGTCACGTGACAGCGGAACGAAACTAATCGAATGTCATCTCTCCAAGAAACATTATAGACACTACTAGTTTTAAATCGTTAAATTGAAAATACAACCATACATTAATTTGTGCTGAGCAAAAAAAATGTAGATATCAATAAAATATAATATTATATTAGGTACTTATGCGCTGCAGATTTTTTAAAATGACGGTAATGAAACTGATACATTTGCTATTTTTTGATACCGAGGTATACTGTAATACTGTATTACCGCACAACCCTAATGTGCATATAATAAGTACACACTTACCATCAGCAGTGCTCTCACACACCGGCTCACTGGTCTCACCAGTATTGTGGTTTCTCGACAGATCTACATAGATTTGGACTTGGATACAATACTCAGTCCATGGTTCCAACTCACTGAGAACGACTCGGCTCTGCTGCACCTGCATGTGTTTGGCCTGTACACAAAGGAAAGACTCACAAGTCCTGCTTTGTCCTGGCATTGAATACATCCTGTAAATAGTCAAAAGTCAAGTTCATGTCCTTAGTGTTCAGGTCTGAGTCAAAGTTCAAGTCACTTGGGCTGAGTCTGAGTAGGTCTCCCAGTCTAGTCCATTTAAGAGGAGTTCACTTATTACTTTACCAACTGTGCTCACTCAGTGCGCAATCATTACTTTTTCAGAATAATTTCTATTGAAATTGTCAATGAGTTACCGTAATTTCCAAACTATAAGCCGCTATTTTTTTCTCACACTTTGAACCAGGTCTTACACAACAATGTGGCTAATATATAGATGGATTATTTGTTTAGCAACACAGCAGATGCTCATGCAACCTGAGTGCAGAAAGTGCCACTGTCTGTACAGTTAACATAAAGTTGCAACATTAGCTAGCGATGTTGTCAGCATTAAAACAGTTTGCCATGTGATAAAATAAGTTATGATGCTAAATTCACATTAGTGAGTGGAACACGTCTTACCCGTATGCGTTAAATGCAGATGAGTGCGTAAATAATAATAAGAAACATCTCAAACTTCAGTAGCTGGACATTCACTTACACCTGATCGATACACTTATCCCCGCCCTCCAGGAGAGCCTGAAATCTGCTGAAATCTATGAGACAGTAACATGATGTTTGATTGTATTTTGAATAGGGCTGGGCAAAAATAAACATTTTTAATGGCGATTAATAGCATGAGTTCGAGCGATTAATTGCATGTTATATGCAAAACCAATTAATGAATTAAAAAGTAGAGTATAGCGGGCTCTGGCCGCGGCTCTGGCCGCTCTTTTATTTCCAATAAAAGAGCGGCCAGAGCCGCGGCCGGAGCCCGCGGCCGGAGCCCGCGCCGGACCGCGCCGGCCCGGCCGGAACCCGCGGCCGGAGCCAGAGCCGCGACGGGAGTCGGAGCCTGCGGCCGGAGCCGCGACGGGAGTCGGAGCCTGCAGCCGAACCCGCGGCCGGGCCCGCGGATCGCGGAGGTTCGGGCACGTTGCATTTCACGTGGTCAGAAAAAAGTTTAAAAAGTGTAAAGAAAAGACGTCAAACTTAAAGAAACGCTGTGAAACCAAGCCAGTGAGAAACAGACGTTTACAATAAAATAAATAAATAAATAATAAAAACTGCGTTAACGCCGTTAAAATAATTGTCGGCGTTAATGACTTAATTAGTTAACGCAAAGTTAACGCGTTAACATGCCCGGCCCTAGTTTTGAACAGTTATTTTGCGCTTCATGCACACACTCTCCTCATGGAAAACACAAAATGCAGATGATGCAGCTTTTAAGTTAAAGGCGAGTGATCAGGCTGCGGCAGAAGCTCAGTATCAATGAGCCGATGGTGAGACTTTGGCAACGGCAGTGTGACGAACTGACTCAATGCAAAAAGTGGCTTGCACCTGCGACTTATAGACAAGTGCAGCCTATATATGTACAATTGTTTTTTTCTTTTAAAATAGTCAATACTCAATAGTCCGGAAATTACGGTAGTTTCTTGCAGACAGAGTCTTGAGCAAACAAAAGTTTATAAATAGAAATACCTACATTAATTATAAAACAATCTATTCCATAGCTTTCCATAGCTTTCTTTACCAAAAATCTTACTCCAGATCTTAATCAGGCACTGATTTATGTTTTTTATGTGGGAGCTGAGAACATTCTGCCTGTCGTGTACAAACACACAGAGTTCACTGGCGTACCTGGTATGAGCGTCCTCTGGGCCAGTAGCTAATGTTGTACTTTGGTAGGCCAAAGACATGTTCCATGGTGGAAACTCTGAACTGTGGGTCTCTCACGCTCACCTCCAAATCTGCTCCATGAGAGACGACAGCCACCGTTGGGGGGCCGATCACAGCTGAGAGTCAAACACATCCATGTCAACTAGACGCACAAAGTCTTACTATACATACACATACTGTATACACATATATACATATGACTGACTGTCTTTGTCCATGGTGAGATTCTGGCTGTGAACCCAGTCTGACACCTCATTTCCAGACAGTGCTCGAACTGATGCATTGTATCGGCCAAACTCCAGGATATTGAGTCCAAGGCCTGGTGCTGAAAGCTCACAGAAAAGGGCTGAAGTGTTGACACAGGCAGGTCTGAACTGGACACTGTCAAAACTGCCCCTGGAAGAGACAGAGCCATAGTCATGATTTTAATTTTTTAAATTTATGGACATATTATGCTTTGTCTTTTGATTAAGACATTTGGTATTACAATACGACATATCAGTAGTTAGTTTAGAAAGGTTTGGAAATATATGGTTTGTTGCTGTTGTACATGTTTGCTGATGTACCATTTGATCTGTGTCTTGGCCAGACTCCAGTGAAAAGAGAATTAGAAATAATACTGGGACTTCACTTGTTAAAAGGTTAAATAAAAAAAATTAAAATTGTTCAAAAACAGTTAGAAACAATAGAAACTGGTCCACTGATGTTCTGCCCTCTGTCCCACATCTTCTTCTCCCCATGAAATTTTATACAAAAGAAGTATTTATGGAAGGTTTTGACTGAGATTTTTATATTTCTAACTGGCCAGGGTCTTATAATATATTGGCAAAAATCACTGGGTATTAGACAGTCCTCATATATGTATTTCAAAGTAGTTTAATTCATTGTGTTTTAAGGTTGCATGGCAATATATTCTTTTATATATTATATAATATAACATATATATTTAATTTATTATTCTGTTTTAATAAAAATACCACAGAACTGGAGCAAGGTATCCCATTGTTAAAATGTTTACATTTAATTCCTAGATTTTGGGGGGGTTATCATTGACATCACATGCGCACATCGCTCCCCATTCGCTCCACGTAGCGAAAGCAATAGGCCCTACGCCCTGTCGGGGCTCGGGCCTAATTATGGACATGGGCATTTTTCATGGTTGGCCAGCAGGGGGCACAAAGAAGATTTAAAGGCACACTATGTAATTTTTCTATTTGCCGGCATGGCGTGTGCAGGCATGGCGTTTGCAGGGTGCGCCGTTTGCAGGGTGCGCTGTTTGCAGGGTGCGCCGTTTGCGGCATTATAAATGCATATATAGAAACATATTGCACTTTTAGGCATTGGCCATGAAAAATAATCAATTTCGAATGATCTCTACTACTACTATCAATTATTGAGGTTTTGGACATAGTACTGCTGCTAACTAACTAACCTGCAAGCGACATGACAGTGTGTGTGTGAGTACAAACACCATACTACAAAAATGCTTGTTCCTGATGTGGAGCACAGGGTCACACTCACTGGAGCTTTGTGGAGTACAAAATCTGACTGGAGATATTGTCTGGGGGTTCCCACCTCAGATACAAGTCCATATTGTGAGACGTCAGTCGGACATTCCTGGGAGGGAGGAGCCCTGAAGCCAGTGCTAGAATCACAAGAGAAAAAGGAACACATGTTAAAATCTAGACTGATACTATGAGATCAAATGAATGAGTTTAATTTTGAGTAGTTTTGACTATGTGTGACTACTATCTTGATTGCAGATAAGATGTTATTTAGTCTTCACGCCACATGCAGACTCGTGGTAGTTTGACAGCGGGCACGAAACGAAACATTTTTCTTGGGCTCGAGAGAGGGAGAGAGACCAAGTCCTGACACTCAGTCCTGATTCAGTTCTGGTTTAGTCCTGTTTTACACATGGTTTAGATCTGTTTTAGTCCTGGTTTAGTCCTTTTTCAGTTTTTTTTCAGTTCTGGTTTAGTCCTGCTTTAGACCTGCTTTAGACCTGGTTCAGTTCTGGTTTAGACCTGCTTGCAACAAAACAACCTGAAGAGCCGCTTTGGAGCCGAAAGAGCCAGCAGCTTTTAGTGAGCCAAGCCAAAAGAGCCAGTTCTCTAAAAAGAACTGGAATACCCATCACTAGTAGCTAGAATGTGATGCAAAAATGCCATTAGTCGGACCTACTGTCTGTAAATATGACGTAAAGAGGCAGAATAACAATAAATGTTGCCTAAATAAACCCAATTTAAAATCCACTAGAGCCAAACCTAAGTTTTTTAAACAATTCAAGATTTACAGTGAATTTTTACATCACTAAATATATCAGCAGCTCCAACTCCTATTTTATCGGTATCATATCGGCCACGAAAAAAAAATAAAATAAAATAAATTATAATAATAATCCCTATCGGTCGGGCCCTATTACTGGACAGCTTGTTACCATGGAGACTGACAACTTTAATGTCATACCGTTAGAGATGTGCAAAAATATTAAAATATCGATATATCATATTGTTTAATGTGATGATACTGTATCGATATTGGGGGCTACTGTATCGATATACTATTACTGCTATTTATTATACTAAAGTTTTACTAAATTATTTTGTTAGAGCGCTACAATTTTGTTGCTTGTTCAGAGGAAGGAAACTTGTTTATGCGACACATTTGACATTTTCATTGTTTTTATGATTAAAATGTTTGTGTTTCATATTCACTTCGCACAAGAAGTGGTTTAACAAAGACTTTTAGAATCCCAGCTATGATTTAGCCTTTATTTTCTATTGAAATGTATTGAATCGATTTGAAATATATTGTATCAAAACATATCGAATCAAAAGTGCACTGTATCGAGATATGAATTGTATTGGCAACTTCTTAACGATACCCAGCCCTACATACGGTCCTGGCAAAAATGGATCCAACAACAGGAATGTACAGTGCACCTTAAGGACCACTTTACTTTTAAGAGGACATGATAAAAGAATACATTTTCTTTGAGATTTATTGACAGATTTATTTACACAGTGAAATGGTTTGTTCATTTTTTTATTCAGACAGTCTAATCAGACTATGGCGTTTTTCTGTTGTCATACCACCAAGCAGACACACTCAAACAGAAATCAGAAGTTCTTCCTATAAGGCTATTTGTAATGTCCAAAGCCATTTCTTATCAGGTCACCATCATCAGTTCAGTGAAAAAAAAAAAAAAAAAAAACAGAAGGTAAAAACAATCCTAAATGTGTAATTTGTGCCTGGTAAATGGCTCACCACCTGCTTGTTTCCATAGCTGGAATGTTACACAGTATGGAACCACACAACCATCCAACCATGCTACCATGCCTAGTCACAGGTCAGATCTATGGAAAGGCAACCCCACTCTTTTTTGGCAATAAACCCATCTGTTATTACATTAATGGAAAACAAATGTGTGTAATGGCATAGAGTTGAACATCTTAAGAAAAGCAGTTACATTTCCAAAACATACTGTGACATTTGCAAAACAGCTCACATACAATCCTAAACAGAGTTATGGTTTTCCTAAACAAAATTAAAGCAAAATGCAGTTTTACATTCGAAGCTGATCAACTGTTTCCCAAAAGCAAATACTACTATAAAACTCAAACTCTGATCATATATTTTCAGTGCCCTTTCAGTGTAGATCTGAAGCATCACTTATTGGCGCAGTTCAGTCTAACACTAGAGTTCACACTTTATATGAACCAGGGACTGGAAGTGCTTTTTTTTTCTGTCTTTAACTGAGTCGATATAGTTAAATATTTTTGAAAAACCAATAAATGAAATTACTAAATTACATATATAGGTGTACATATTACTGGATTTACTGTTTTTTTTAAGCAAACACTTGCTGCATACTTGCTGAATAAAACTGAGAAATCAAGCAAATACATCAAAACCATTTTTACAATATGTAATGAGTTTTACACAAACATTACAGCCTATGTATCTATTCATTTAGTCTGTACTCACTATCAGTTTGATTCATGTAAAATGCTCAAATAACTGTATTTTGCTGTTATGTTTGGAGTTTGTATATTGAAAGTCACAGAGTTTAGGCCCAAGTACTGAAAACAAACAAAGAATTCAGTGATCATGTATGTTTCTGAATGACAGCTATGTCAAGTGTTCTGAGAAACAGGCTGCAAACTGTGTGAACAGATGAGAAATATTCTAAATGATTTGACCAACTAAACCCTTGTTCAGATAGCTACATATGTGAATCAAATTATCGGTGTAAATTTAAAAAATTATCCCAAAATGACTGAAAAAAATACCCTAAAAAGTAACTTGTAGGCAGTGTTGGGGAGTAACAGATTACATGTACCAGAGTTACATAATCAGAGTACAAATTATGAGTAACTGTATTCAGTTACAGTTACTGTTGTTTCAGTGAGTGGTAATTAGATTACAGTTACTTGAAATGAATGGATTACATGGCGGGATTTTCCTGTTTTTACATTTGGGGCTATATCCCCCCCCCCGTAACTGCACTCATTGCCGGACTCTAAACCAGGTCTAAACCAGGTCTAAACCAGGTCTAAAACCAGGTCTAAAACCAGGTCTAAATCTGGACTAAAACCAGGTCTAAATCAGGACTAAAACCAGGTCTAAATCAGGACTAAAACCAGGTCTAAATCAGGACTAAAACCAGGTCTAAATCAGGACTAAAACCAGGTCTAAATCAGGTCTAAAACCAGGTCTAAATCAGGTCTAAAACCAGGTCTAAAACCAGGTCTAAAACCAGGTCTAAAACCAGGTCTAAAACCAGGTCTAAATCTAAAACCAGGTCTAAAACCAGGTCTAAAACCAGGTCTAAAACCAGGTCTAAAACAGGACTAAAACCAGGTCTAAAACCAGGACTAAAACCAGGTCTAAATCAGGACTAAAACCAGGTCTAAAACCAGGACTAAAACCAGGTCTAAAACCAGGACTAAAACCAGGATTAAAACCAGGTCTAAAACCAGGTCTAAAACCAGGTCTAAAACCAGGTCTAAATCAGGACTAAAACCAGGTCTAAAACCAGGACTAAAACCATGACTAAAACCAGGTCTTAAACCAGGTCTTAAACCAGGTCTTAAACCAGGTCTTAAACCAGGTCTAAACCAGGACTAAACCAGGACTAAAACCAGGACTAAAACCAGGACTAAAACCAGGTCTAAAACCAGATCTAAAACCAGATCTAAATCAGGACTAAAACCAGGTCTAAATCAGGACTAAAACCAGGTCTAAAACCAGGTCTAAAACCAGGACTAAAACCAGGACTAAAACCAGGTCTAAAACCAGGTCTAAAACCAGGTCTAAAACCAGGTCTAAATCAGGACTAAAAACAGGTCTAAAACAGGTCTAAAACCAGGTCTAAATCAGGTCTAAATCAGGTCTAAAACCAGATCTAAATCAGGTCTAAAACCAGGTCTAAAACCAGGTCTAAAACCAGGTCTAAATCAGGTCTAAATCAGGTCTAAAACCAGATCTAAACCAGGTCTAAAACCAGGTCTAAAACCAGGTCTAAATCAGGACTAAAACCAGGTCTAAAACAGGTCTAAATACAGGTCTAAACCAGGTCTAAAACAGGATTTAACAGGACTAAAACATTTTCTATCAATAATATTTTTAATTTGATTTAGTAAAGTCTGGGCTTTTTATTTTCTTTTAGCAAACAAAACATCTTATGTAAAGATTTCCTCGTCTTTGCTTATCTACAGAAAATCAAGTAATCCAAAGTATTAAGATTACATTACTCACTTCAAGTAACTTAATCTGTAGGGGAATACATTTTAAAAGTAACCTTCCCAACACTGCTTGTAGGTCAGTAAGATTTGAGAGAAAAAGTGGCACTTAAAATTGCAATTTAAAAAAGAGCTACAATCATAACAGGTAGTAGCCATCAAGAACTGAGCACCGGAGCAAAAGTAAAACGTCTGGGCTAGTAAACACTAATGCAATGATAATAATTGCCTTCAGAAAAGAAGAATATATAGTTCAGGTTTCAAGTTGTACATTATCCACGTGGCCCATGAGACCGAATGCGTTCAGAACTCACCTGTTACGCATATGCTTACTATGAAGCAGCAGCAGCACAGTAGAGACATGTTCTAGAGCGCCCGGACGTGTCAGATCACAAGCCGAGAATAAGCGCTTCTTCCTGGTTGCACTGAGGGGAATTCCGCGCAACACTTCTTCTTCAAGAGGAAGAGCGAACCCAGTGAGCGAGGAGCGAACGCGGCAGAGTTTGGGCATAGAAACATCTGGATCAAACAGCCTGATAGCCACAAAAAGCGTCACTGGATCCACGTCGAGGAAGGACACCGAGCGAACGTTAGGTTTTGAAGACTTCTGGCTCTCCTGCCATCTCACCAGCTATCGCACTTGTCCGATGCAGCAGCGCGCGTAACTCCGCCCTTGTTCCTTTTGTGTCGCCCTGTTCCATGTGACCACGTAACTAGGTGGGAAACCAAAGGTTACCTACAGAATTTAGCAGCTAGTCTTTTTTCCAAATGCAGCTATGGGTGTTTTAAATATTTCGCCTGAGAGTTTTCCCAGCACATTCAATAACGCAACTGCACTGATATAAGTCTATCATTGAAGGTATTGTACTGAATTATTTTTTTAATTAACCTTCAAGTCACTTTTTACATTTAGTTTAAAGTAAACATCAGACACAGTGAAAGTGAAAATGTTTATTTTGTCTGATGGGATTACTTTCAGTTGTTGTAATTGACGCAGATTATTTACTTTGACCAAATAGACATTTTACTCAGACCCAACACATTAAAACCAAGCAGCAGAATAGGTAACAAGTGCTTTTTATTGCTCAGCAGATTACTTCATTGTCAATATAACTTTGTCAGTTACTTGTAAATACAGTATGGGCAACATATCCACAAAAATTGACAAAATATCTTAGACTTGTAGGTAGTTATAAAAGAGGGTAATTGATTGGAATATTCCATAGTATGGCATTAAATGTATCCACCTTGTCATACTTTGAAATACATGTATTCTTTTTGTGAGTGATCTAGCCTAGATCTGGCCTTTGCTTGATCTAGGCTAGCTCAAGCAAAGGCCATGCTTGTTTTTATGGAAATGGACAGGTCTAATACCATATTGTAGCACATTCCAGATAATGGCAGGCGTGTGTCCCTGGCTTCTCTGTCTGCCTCTCCATTCCTCACCGCTACAGGTCTGTGTGTGCTTTGCTGTTGATGCTCGGGGAGCCCGGGGCCCGCGCACGCGCATGTGTGTAATGGGTTTAATGTTTGACTATTCACATTATGATGAAATATTTCCTGAAGTTCCTTTGATTGTTTAATAAACCATCTTTTCTCAGGAGAGATGTCTTTGTTTCTTTATAAACTGACTTAATTACTTTCCCTGTATAAATGTAATCCCTGGTAGGGTGACCATATTTGCGTTTGTCAAAACCAGGACACCTTACGGGGGTCGGGCCTCATCATAGACATTGAGCTACTCACCTGGCAAAGCTTTTTAATGTTTTTTGGTGTCCTGGTGAGCTTTGAGGTCCGTGGCACCGCCCCTGGACACCGAAACATATGTGCCTGTTATGCATACTGTGCGCATGGCCTCCCACTTGTCTCGACCCGGACGAAAAGCGGGGAATTTCTTCTACAAATGTGCATTTACGCTTCAGCATGTTGCAGACTGACCGACTGTTTGCGTCTGCTCGGTCCTTCTGAATGCACAGAGACCTACAAGAGCCGCTTAATTTAATGGCCCTGTGAAAGATAATGAATACCCAGACATTTCCATCGCTTTATATATAAAAAAAAAAAAACCCGGACGGCCAGGACAGTACGTGAAAAACGGACATGTCTGGAGAAAAACGGACCTTTGGTCACCCTAATCCCTGGTCAATATAAAAAATCCTTAATAATAAAAATAATATTTAATAATGCACATCTCATCACTGCACTGTTTTTTTTTTTTTTTACTTCAAGGTCATTTAGTCTATTTTAGATGTATCCCACAAATATAGTTGTTTTGTTTTGCAAAAGTTAAACATAAATTTTCATTTTTAACCATAAGATTTGGAAGCATATTATTAGAATTGTTATGTTGCTCCCTTTATGTCACTATGCAAACACTTTTACATAACAGACAGAGCTACGCAGACACATGTTGACAGATTGATTGACTGATCGTAACACATTTAGGTTCATACATAACAAGAATAACTTGGTCACAAAATCCACCAGTTTGATCACCTGTGCGTAATCTGTGTGGAGCATTAGCATTAGCAGCAGCAGCGTGTCTCAGTTGCTGGGTGAGCGGAGCCGCTCCGTGAGATTCACCTGTCCCATTTCGGAAACAGTCTTGCAGTTCTAGGGCTGCAGCCTTCGCGGCCGATGAAGGACCCAGCCTTCGCAGCCTTCGGAGGCTGCAGCCCTCAAATTGGGACACGGCTATAGTGTAGGAATTGTGTTAAAAAATGAGCTAGGAGGAGAATGCGGCTAAAGGCCCAGCTCTGCTCACAGCCACGCGGCGCGGCGGGTGATCCTTAACTAAACAGCGTGTTTAGGTTAAGTAAGGTTACTAAGGTTCATGTTACGCTATTTCAAAGGCATTAGCAGGTTCACTGCTAGTTCTACTGTTAAATGTTCCTAAAGCTTTGTTTTTCATTTGGCATTTTGCAAGTTAATATCTATAAAGTTAACTTTATACCTTTTATTGAAAACCCAGGCTTTATATTAATTACTAAGTCGTTTTGTTCATGGGTATGATAGGTTACTTGGACACCACCGCATTATCCTGCACTAAGCACACAAAAGAAAACACTAACACCTTTTTACAAATACATTTATTATTGTTATTATTTTTACATTTTTGTTCATTTCATTCTACTTATTTGTTTTATGTCTATATCCTTGTTATCTCTAATGTTAGGGGGCTACAAAATAGTGTTAAACGTAAGGCACTGTTTTTGTTTGATAAAGATACTAAAGTAAATTGCCTTTTTTGCAAGAAACTCATTCTGTCTCAAACGATGAAAAGTTCTGGGAAAATCAATGGGGTGATTCAGTATATTTTGCACATGGAACCTCACACTCAGCAGGAGTTATGATTTTGTTTAATAGATTTTTGGGCACTGTAATTAACCACAAAAAAGACACAGAAGGTCACTGGTTAATGGTAGCAGCAGAGATATGCAATAAAAGAGTTTGTGTATATGGCTATAACAACAACTGTGCAAATAGAAATTTATATTCCTCACTTTGCAACTCTGTTAAAGAGTGGAAAATAACCTACGACTCAGATAATGTGATTATGGGAGGCCACTTTAATATAGCACCCGACTCTTGGCTTGACCAAACGCCTCATAGATAAGCTCAGCCCATTTATGATGACTCAATAAATAACTTATTTACAGAACTAGAACTGATTGACTTACTGGAGACTAAAACATCCTGGTAAGACTCAGTACACATGGTTTAACGCAGCAGGAAATGGTCAATGTTCAAGATTAGACTACTGGCTAGTTTCAAGCAGTCTCTGTTTCTGACGTCTAACGTTTCTGCTTGTGATATTTTAGCATCCCCATTTACATAGTCTGGTAAACCTAACCTTGGTGTTGTCTAAACCTCAACAATTATCTGTCAATACTTGGAAATTCAATAATCTTCTTAAAAACAGAATTTAATGATCAAATTAAAACATCTTTAAAAGAAACAGCAAACATGAATTCAACAAATATATCAGAATGGGAATGGTTCAAATTGAATGCCAAACTAATAGCTATTGACACAGGGAAAAAAATGAATGCAGCTAGGAAGCAAAAGCTGAAAGAAATAATTGATCAAATTAACCTGTTAACACAAGAAACCCCATCTAATGAAAATTAAATGAAACTAGTCTTTACAAACTCAGTTAGATGAAATCTATGCATTGACAGCACATGGGGCTTATGTGAGATTCAGAGCTGCATGGATCGAACAAGGAGAGAAGAGTTCATCTGATTTTTTTTGGTCTCGAAAAGCATAGACAATCCAGGAAAAAGATTAATAAACTTGAAGTAAACGGCACCGAAATTGAAAATGAAGATACATTTTCAAAAGAAATATGCACATTCTATGAAAACTTATACAAAACAGATTTTAAACAAAATGATTGTGATGCTATGTTTGAAGAAATCAAAAATAATATTATAGTGCTGAGCGACAATGATAGAAGCAGCCTTGAGGAGGAAATAACACTAACAGAAATGGATTCTGCAGTGAAACAAATGAAAAATGGAAAATCTCCAGGTATAGATGGTTTGACTGTTGAATTTTTCAAAATTTTGGGGATGACATAAAACAGTTATTACATGAAACCTTTTTAGATTGCATTCAGTAGGGACAACTATCTCCTACTATGAAAACAGGTTTAATTACTTTAATACCCAAACCTGATAAAAATACACTAATATTAGGTAATTGGAGGCCAATCACATTGTCATGTACAGACTATAAAATATTGGCTTTAATTTTTGCTAAATGACTTAAACAAATTATCAACAAACTAATTGGAGAATATCAATCTGCTTTCATCAAAGGCAGATTTATCCATAACCATATTAGGCCTACTGCTGACATGTTAAACTATCAGTTCCATATCCAATCAGAAAGCTTTATCCTATTCCTTGATTTCTTCAAAGCATTCAATACTGTGCAGCACATATTTATATTTGCAACTCTCAAAAAAATTGGCTTTGGAGAACACTTTTGCAAAATCATTGAAATGTTCTACTCCAATATAAATAGCTATATTTCCCTCAACCTGGGTACAACACCTCAAATCAAGATAACCCGTGGAATACGGAAAGGATATGCTATCTCTCCTCAGCTGTTTATAATTTGTTAATCAAATGTTATCTTATCTAATTCTAAACCATCCTCAAATTAAAGGAATTACCTTATTTGAATATGAATACAAAATAAGACAATTTGCAGATGATACTGCAATCTGCTTAAAAAACAAATCTGTATTAAACAAAACTTTTGAGGTAATTTAATTGTTTTCTAAGGCATCTGGTTTAACCCTGAATCCACTGTTGGGCAAGTTACTTTAAAACTGTAATGTGTTATTTATTACTTATTACTGTCATTTCAAAGTAATTCGTTACATTACAATATTACTGCATTTAAAATGTAAGGCATTACATTACTATTGCATTACTTTAAGTTACTCTCACCAAAATAACTGCGACAAAGCTGAACTTTTGAGCTGTATATGGACTGAACCAGGACTAAACAAGGTCTAAACCAGGACTAAACCAGAGCTGAACCAGGACTAAACCAGGACTATAACAGGACTAACCTCAGACTGATTCCAGGACTGAAGAGGAGGACTAAACCAGAACTGAACTTGGACTAAAACAGGACTCCCTGTCAGGATGG